CGCAGCAGGCAGCAATCTCCCCTCGTTTTTGTGGATGCAGGGCCGGCTGCCTGGCTGTGAACGCACGCGCCACGGGAGCAGAGGACAGCCAGGGAAAGGTTCTTGAGGCTCGCTGAGAAGGAGCAGAGCAGGGAGCAGAGTCCCTGCTCCGTCCTTGGCCACGCAGGGCCGGCTGCAGGGCTCACACCCCATCGGTAGGTGTATTTGAACAGACACACTCTGCGCCTCTCCGATACTGACCATTCAATCTTACCTCGACCAAGGAACAATTCGTTGTGTCCAGGGGGAACAGGCTTCCAGCGCCCTGATCCCAGCACAGCATTTCCCTGCCTGCCTTGCTTTCAGCCTAGCAACACTTTTCTTCCTCATTTGTAGCCTGGAAGAGCAGTGTGCCTTCCTCAGCACGCACTTCAGCCTGCTGCTCCATCTCTGCTTTGACATTTTGGCTCCTTGCTTTGATCCCTCTAAGTTTTGAATTCAGTCAGACTGTGCAGCCTGCCCAAACACAGAATCTTTAGTAGCATGAGCCATTCTGGACACATCTGAGAATTCCCAAACTCAGGAAACCCCCTTGATGAAGGAGATACATTATTATTACATGGGGCAGAGCAGGGAAATACAAAGTCAAGAAAAGATGCCAGTGCTTTTGCCAAGGATTTTTTTTTTTGACAGATTTCCTCCTAAGAGCTCCAAAGAGCTCCGATCTGGAACTATTGCATAAGTTTAAGGATGCCTTCAAGATTCTGTAGGATTCCTCAATTACAGGAACAATCAGGACCAACCACCAAAATGCTGAACACGGTGCACTGTCAGATTCTGCTGACCAGTTAGAAATACCAGACACCGACCCGCTGCCCAGAGTTGGCTGTTTCAGAGTCCTATATGGAGAGGTCTACAACATCTTAGGTCTTAATAAAGATATTTCCTTTTGCACCTTTCCTAATATTCTCCTGGAAATAGAAAAGGAAATCTGTGTGCCTAATGGCATTTTCCCATCCTTCTATCTCCCAAAAGAAGAATCTTGACATGAACACGGCATGCTTCTAGCATGGCCAAATAGATGCTTTACCTCCACGTGTCTACCTAACTGATAAGTTTCACAAAAACCTAAACATTCAGCTATTCCAGTCCCTTCAGAGTTACAGCAGAGCCAAGAATCACTGAATACCTAGATATGTAATATTCACTATATTTTGGTATCAGCAATCATATCACTCCAACCAGTTTAGTAGCTTCTGATACTTTTAGTGATACAGTCAAGAAATCTGTAGCGCTCCCAAACCAAAATCAGCACCTGACACACTAGAGATGCAGCCAGTTGCTCTCTTCTCCAGCTCTCAAGGGTTTCTCAGCGAGTTTGTGGCTGTGTGCAGACGTTTCCATTCCCTGAACACAGCAGGTAAACTGACTTCCTGGATCTGACGCAATGCCCTTAGTCCTTCTCTAACCCTGTAATAAATTCTCTCCCAGAGCTGGTGCCTCAGAGATCCAACAAACAGTTTTCTTATGATGCTGGAGGAACAAGGCGTTTCCTAGGCTAAGAGACTCGCTTTCAGCACGTTACCTAGGTTCATCCCAAGAAAAGAACAGATTATTCCCAAGAGAGGAATAATTCTTGTATGTCCACAGGACCCTGTGCCCACAGAGCAGGAAGGGTCTCCCAAGCGATACAGGTGAGAGAAAACATGACATTCTTATATATCATGAGCTGGACATAGGAACTCAGGCACCTTTCTCACTTTATCTCTTTTTTTAGATTTCTAAAATATGAAGGAGATTTTGACTTATTTTACAGAACATCTCAGTAATTTTGTAGGCAATTAGAACAGAAATTCACAGGCAGGCTTATATGCGCTGCAGCAGAGAGCATACTTTTATCTTGGAGGCACACCCATTACATTTATGTTTTGTTACGTTTGGATTTGGGTGAATTACAAAAAAGCCTCTGTAAAAGTCACTTTTTAAAGCATGCAATAAATTTCAGAAACTTGAAAGGGCCATCTGGCCAAGCATACCTGCCATCTTAAACACTTATCTCACTCCTACTTTCCTGCTCTTCCTGCCTGCCCTGCAGTTCCTTTTTAGTTTCCATGAAATATATCTTGGGATAACTTCAGCATACTTATATTCGTTGTACAATGTCACTTCCCTCTAATGCCATTAGTGGACTTATCACCTGAAATCAAGTCTAAATCCTTTCTTCACTCCCTAATAAACAAACAAAAATTTCTGGCTGATCTGCTCAAAAGCTGTTATAGCCATTGATAGAGCCATAGCAAAAGTTATTTCTAAACTGCAATCAGGGAGCACCTCAAAACCCCCAAGTTCAAGTATACGCCCTGGCTTTGGCTTTCTATGTATGAGCAAGACATGGTGCACTCTCCTTTCTCTTACAAAAAAAGAAAAACTCAGGTCAGGTCAGGACATCTTCAATAATATATTTTTGCAACATTTTTAACAATATTTATTGAAAATCAATTATGCAAACTTTGCTGAAATTACTTTTTATTTTGAAATTAGCCTTACTCCATACAGAAACAAAAATATCAAAATAGTCATGAAGATTATTTGGTGCTATTAACATTTTGAAGTGCTTTGGCTGAATTGCAAAAATATTTTTCCGGAGAATTTAGAACTCAGTTCATTTTCTCTCACACTGGTAAATAAACAGGAGTGTTGATAGTGTTGATAGTCTAGCACTTTACCCCTTTTTCCTTCTGTCCCTCCACGCTCTACTTCTATCATTATGTTTCAGTCTTCTTTATGTATGTACTATGTATATACTTTTCTGCCTCATCTACAACCCCAGTATCTTCTGTAATAATGTAACAAGCAACCTACATATTAGCTCTCATGAAGATCAGCTAATTCTTAAGACCAAATGTGATTTTCCCCTGAAATAAGTATCTTACACAAAGAAAGAACTATATTTTATGCTTAAAAAACACAGATTTCCCTTCATGTGTATTGGATTCTAAACGCTATAACAATCTGTGTACAAAAAGTTAATAAAGCAGATTAAGAGGCTTATGGCAGAAAGTCTATCAGTAAGCCCATTAACTCAATTCTCAACACATACAACCAAAACAATCATTTATACTTCATAGTTCATCCTCAGCCTGGTTTGACATTATAAGAAAATCTGCATGTGTGCTGAATTCATTTAATTACAGTCTTACCATTGTTGTCTCTTGAATTGATCCAAAGCTGTTAATGAAGATGTTGACTGCAACATCAACTGGAATTCCTTAAAAAAAAAAAATTGTTAACTGCATATTCCAATAAAGATAAGCGATCCTTGATTTGAGGCTCCCTTACACTGGTATCACAACGTGAAATAATTTTTTTATGTAACTGAGACTGAAACAACTTTATCTTTTCACATCATGTTCTGTTCTTGAAAAGTGAGGTTTAATCTCTTCACACTGGGAGTCAAATTATGACAACTCTTTTCATCCTAGTGAAAAGAGAAAAACTCCTTACTCAGAGCACTGAGCTTAAAGCATGTCACAGATCATAAATTTGAATCATTCGCAAACTCCATGATTTTCTGTTTTTATGGGATTCCAATCTAATATTAATCTTGGATACACTACAATGTATAGAAGCAATTTGCTTTCCTAATGACATAGTCTTTTACTCTCAAAGTCATGATGATGACCTATCATTCTTAATTACCTATTTATGAGTTATGGTAATATATTTACTTATAAGAAGATACTTCTTTGTATAAATCAGGTACACAAATGTGCAGGTATTCATACAGACAGATAAAAATGGTTTAATTAATTTTTCACAGTTACCTAGCCCTTGATACAAGACACGAGTTTCAAAGATGCTCCATTTTACAATGATTAACAACTGGCTAAGAAAAATCCTGTTAGCCAGCAACTGTGGAGATAGATTGGATTTTCTCCTCTTTTCCACAGCCAGGATTCCAGTAGCTGAAAAGGGATGGCAGGACAGCTGCTGAATCTGCCCTCTGCCACCCTGAGGGAACCGACTGGCAGTCACTTAATTTGGTGTAAACAGAGAGTTACCATGAAGGGGGAAGTGTCCTGATGCTCCTGAGACCTAATTTATGTGGCATCTAGATGTTGACAGCGTCACTGTGCACACTGTGTGCATGTATCTGATCTTACTTACACTGCTGCAAATACTCAGTTCAATGGGATTCCTCCTGTTTTTTTTTTTTTTTTGTAATAAAAGAGATATAAGAATATAGTGAGAATATATTAACTCCGTAACCAAACACAATACAAAGTGATATAGGCCTAACCTAATAGTTTCTTGGGTACATACAGTATTTCAGTATACATTTAATGCATACATTTAAACTCAGATAAGTTCTCTAGGGTCACCAAGAAATTACTAAGATAAATTTTCACTTTATTCAATTAAAACAACTTGCTTTTTCAAATCAGTCCAGTTTCTGTTTGTGTAATAAGCATAATACTTTGCTTAGCACCTGAAGAATGAGGCAGAGCACCTTCCCAGCAGTACTAGACAGGGGTGCTCTATTCCTGCCACACTTAGGAACAAACTGTAGTCCCAGAAAATCAGTCACGCATGAGGAGCGTTTTGATATGGGTCAATCACTTGTCAGAAAAGGTTCTTTGCCCTCCACCTCTCCGTGAGTTAAGATTACACCTTCTTCTCCCTTTTCCTTCCATCTTGATTTTTACCAGGCTGCCAGCAGGGATACCAAAAACATAAAAATACCTGCAGTATGCTTTCTGATTGCATGCTTATTTTTTGCTGAAAAACAGGTAGAATGGGCATTGGATATGTATCCTTTGTGACAATGACTGGTGCTGTAAACATACAAATATTCTGGACCACAGAACGAGAAAATACTAGGAACCTTTCTTAGAACTAACTTTAATATATTTATAAAAGTTGATTAAATAGAAGAACTGAAAAAAGTCTCTTCAAAAGCACAATAAAGATTACAGGTTTCCAAATTTCTCATACTATTAGTGAGCATGTTATAACAACACACCTCTTAATGTACATACAACTAAAATGCAACTTTTAAAACAAACAACAAAAAGGTGGCTTAGATAAACAGCAATGTCCGTTAAGGTAATAAAACTGTCTACATCTTTCACCGCCAAGGACATAATCTAATTGTGGGAAAGCATAACCTGCAGCTGTTTGAGCTGTTAGAGGTTTTGCACCAAATGTATATTCCAATCTTTTCTGTGTATGCAGGTAAATCACATTTGCCTACACGGAAGATTCACTTATTTTAAAAACACAAAATGTTCTAAAATCATAACCTATTTTAAATTCCAAGATGTCAGCTGCATTAATAGCACATCTTCAAAGTAATTAACTTCATTTAAAAATTGTGATTTGAAAACTGTGATACTGCAGATCCCAAATTGTATAAAGTCCTCATAAAAGATCTCTATAGACTAGCATCTACATCCTTGCTATAAAGCAAAGATAATACTAAAGCCTAACTTATAAGTATATATTAAAACATACTTTTAAACATATTCTATAATCTAATTCTACTTTTCAAACACATTCCTGCACACACTCCTGCATGTTCACGCTCTTTGGGGAAATAACCTTTTTTAGAAACACATAATTAATGCTATTAATTTTTAATAAAATTTGAATAATGAAAACAACTTTAAAGCATCAGGGATTGTTATGATCACAAAATTCTAATACATCATCTTTCAGCTAAAAAGGGTAAATATCTCCTGCATGTTCACGCTCTCTGGGGAAATAACCTTTTTTAGAAACACATGTTGCAAATATTACCTACATACGAATTTTCCATGTGTGAAGAGTGTAGAAGTTAAATTCCAAAGACAAAAGTCTGAAATATCTGACAAACCTTTGAAATTTGGTCTTATCCTGGGGTCGTAACTGAGTAATAGTCTATTCAAGATATTGCTGGTAGAATTAGCAGGTACTCTTGCAAGATCTTCAGCTGACTGCTGGCTGTAAAAAAGAAGTCCATTAGTTACTATTAATTCAGAAAGAACTATGTACTTAAGCTTAGGTCATTTTAAAGGTATGCCATGAACATCATTTTGCAGGCAAAAGAGGTTTAATATTTTCAGTTCCATTGCACACATTCTCCCTTTGCTAGAGACATTTTAGGATTTTTCAAAATACTACAGCAAATGCGAAAACTCTCCTATAAAACTCTCTAACTGTGGAGGTGAGAAAGTGAATAAACTGAAACGGTCAATTGTTCCCTTCCCTCCTAATACAAGGACCCAGAAGGACATGATTTCTTCACTGGCAGAAAACAGCCACCTGATCTATTTTTAGTGGCCATCAGTTTAGGAACACAAGTGGACCGACAAGCACTTCTCCAGTGCCAAAGCACGCCAAGGCTTTTGGCAGCCTCCTGCTTTCATGCGCCGGTGCCAGCTATTTCACGGGGAGTTAGAGCCATTGCACGATGTCTTTGTAGTGTTCTAATATCAGCTTTCTCATGGAAAGGGAGGCTTCTGACTCCTCCAATTTTGCAGGGGAATTGCAAACATTTCAGTTTACCTTGCTGTTACTGTTTAGGGTATTAAATTAAAACGATCACTAAAAGCAAAGAGTCAGCCTGGGACAGGCAAATGTACCTACAAGGGTAACACAAAACTGAGCACACCAAGAAGCAAGACTGAGGGTGCACCCGTCCCTACTGCACATGCTGTGAGCACGTGGCAGGCCCGGAATGTCACGCAAATGCATTTGTCATCTGTAGAACCTGCTCAGTGATGAGTGCCACTTTGGAATCCTGTCTCATAATCACTTTTCCATCCTTTTTATGCCTGCTCTGATGATGCTGTGTCATTCTAATTTAATAATCAAGACGCTGTTTAAAAATAACTCCAACACTTTTCAGAGACACAAGTCATCTGCATCAACACTATTAATGCTAGCAACCAAATGTAGGGACACATTTTAAAAAATGATCCAGTTAATTGCCTGAATATTTTCCATACCTCAGTATCTGTTGCAATCGCCTATATTACTCTGCTCAATTCTTTTTTCATTATTCTCTCCCATATCAATGTCAGCTCGACAGGCTTATGGGTTATCCTAGGTTAGTGTTTCCAATGTCTTGGCTCACTGCTAGTTTTCTTGTCACCTCTTAAGATTCCTTCATGTCCTTTGGAAATTCTGAAGCATTCAAAGATTTATTGAAGTTAACATCAACTCTCCAAGATGCTTTTGGCTAGTATTTTTTTTTTAATCAGGTATACATCCCACTAATTTTAAGATGCCCAGCTATAGCACTTTCTGATTAGCAACTTCCTTATTGACTCTTAGAAAATTAATTGATAATTGTCACAATTGCATAATGCCACTATCATTGAAAACTGGAGACATGACCAGATTCCAGCCCTTGCAGATCTTTTACATATAAGCTCACCTTTTCATATCAGCTGATCTAACTCAACACATAGGTAAAACAGCAGAAGCAATTGGACTGGCTCTGCTACAGCTAAAATGTTTATAAGTTTTACTAAATGTATTTAGTAAGGTATAAATGATCCACTAAAAAAACTAAGATTTTGCTGGTTTTAGTAACAAATCCTAGGCTCCACTAGAACATCCTTATTGTTTGAATAAGCCGCACGAACAGGAAGCCTCTTCTAATCCGACATTAGAGTAATTAAATAGCACGAGGCAGTTTAAGCCTTTTGAATAATTCCTAAGTTCACTTTCATTTAGCTTTCCAAGGGTTGTGTTTATGGCTGCTTCTATGTGAATCATTCAATATGCAAAGGAACTAATTTATTTCTATTATGTATAAATTCATGTTACATTTTCAGCACTGACCATTCTTAATGAACAAGCTGCTACAGAAGTATCATAAATCAGCTTTAGACACTCTTCTTGCAGTTACCACTGACTGGACAATAGGGAAATGTAAAGTTAAATGTTAAGATTATCTTCTGTCTTGTGGCAAGAGCAGGATAGCAACACATACTCTACACCACAGAATTGTGCCTGACACTGGAAGTTTCTCAGCATTGCTGAGTTAGTGCTTCCTTGTAAGACACTGATCTTAACACTTAGGTACAACTTCAGTGTCTATTGAAATATTTATAAAAAAAGAGTCTGCTTAGAACAAGCAATAGAATTTCATTCTAATCATATAAGCCTTGTATTTATGAAACATCAAAACTAAACCACACACACACAAAAAAAAATAAATGCTCAAGTTTTAAATTTCTGTTGCCAGATTTATATAAAGAAGTTCATTAAATAGCGATGATAAAAATCTGAATGTAAGATAACATGGACACATAAATTAAGCACAGATGCTTTCAAAATGCAAGAAGGAAAAGAGAAAGAATCTAAGAAATTAAAAGAGGGAGCATTAAACAGCAACCAAAAGCCAAATATAGTCTATATTCTGACAGGTTTATCTGTCTTTTCGAGAAGAACGAGGCTGTAGTTCTGAGAGATACGAACTGCACTGCAGATGTATGTTAATATCAATACCTGTTTAGGCTGTTTATTCATAGGTTGCTCAAGAAATAGGCAAAGTAGAATTGCTGCATGAGAGGACTGATGGGAACGAAGAGAGGATGGCAGCAGAGCTTTCTGCTAAAGAGCCTCCTGATCAGCAAGGAGCTGAGCACATTTTGAGGTTACACTGGTGCCATGTGCACACTTTTATCCTCATTTATATAAGAACCAAGTGAACAGCAGCAGTATCACCCATTTTGCGTGGGAGTAGAAGGACACAGTCAGTCACTGTCTTGCAAAGGTGACTTTGAACAAAGTGGTTGGACCAGCTACTGGAGAAAAGCTCTGCTCAATCCCCTTTGTACCTTCGCTAGGCTCCCGCCGTGTGCCGTCTCTGAACTAGCACCACTCAACAGGATCCATACTACTGCGCGTCTGGTCCGAACCTCCTTGAGAGAACCGAACTCATCACAACACACACTTTTCTTCTATAAGTCAAGAAATCATACGTGGAGCTGGTGGCAACCTGAGTCACTCACAGAGTCACAGTTTTGCAGAATGACTTAACTGACCGCTGAACAGGATGGGTGAGGTGCCTGGAACCCAGGCTGCGACACAGTCCATGCCACTGGGGTTGTATCTAGAGCAGCTGCCGCTGCTTCGTCGCCTCCCTGCAATGCCACGCTTTGCATCAACCTCAGGCTCAGGCGTGGACCACATTAGAGGAAAAGAATTCCAATTAAGCTGTTTCTTCAGCACTTCTGTTTTATAAAGGCTGTCTGGTTTCCATATAACAACGCTCACGCTAATTGAATGTTATGGTTGCCACCCTTACCTCTACAACCTTGAATTTTCATGCTTGAGACAAGCTGATAACTAAATTAAGATTTCCCCTCAATTTCTAGGGGCTGCAGCATGCGCTGCAATTTTAATATGTTTATGTCGACTTGTGTGGAATGTTTGCATAGCTGCTAGAAAGCATTAGGAAATAGATATGTAGCAACATTCTTCACAATAATTTATGAGTCGTAAATAAGATAAAGTGAGCATCAGGCAAAGTGTAATGCAGCAAAAATCTCACAGTTGCTTTTAAAGTAATAGTAAAGCTAGAAATTGCCTTAGTAAGAATTTAGCCTGAATTACAATACCCTCAATAATTGTCACAACAATCCTACCAGTTTGCTTAGGACATCTGAACTAATTATAAGCCTACATATTTTTTCATACAGTTTGACTGAAGAAACCCTGTTCTAGCTTCTACTCTTTACAGTATACTAGCAGCATTCCTTCAGCTGTTGCCTTGATGGAGTGGATAGAAACATTATTTCTGCTTTTGCCTTTCTGACCTAGGACACTTGAACTAATTATAAGCCTACATATTATTTCATACAGTTTGACTGAAAAAACCTTGTTCTAGCTTCTACTCTTTACAGTTTACTAGCAGCATTCCTTCAGCTCTTGCCTTGATCAGTGGATAAAAACATTATTTCTGCTTTTGCCTTTCTGCAGTGCACCTGGGCTTGCCATATGAATACTTGTGTACCTGACTGGTAGCATCTTTGAGTCAGGTATCAAAATCCTTGGGTCATGGCAGAGGGAAGGAAGAAAACCCACCAAAAATAATAATAATAAAAAAGTATTTTTAGTGGGACAATGCAAGTGCTGCACTGTGATTATGGGGGTCAAAGCCTCGGGTAAAGTGGAAGAACTACTGCAGAATTATTTAAAAGCATGAAACCTAACACAAGCAGCAAAGGAAGGGAGAGCACAGTTAGTCTACTAGGGTGATGTATCTGTGGAATGTGATTGGCCTCTCTCCATTCTTTGGGGATTTGCTTTTAGTATTGCTGGTGAACATACAAATAGTATTTCATAGCATATGTAGAAATACGTTCATTTCCCCTTTCTTCCACGTGCAGCTGCAAACACTCTACCACTGCTTTGCAGAACATCATTAACATTTTAAATCGAAGACAATGGAGAATTGTCTTGATAAGTCATTGATCAAAATCCAGAAGTTTAGATCAGCAGATACACATGGCTAAAGGAAGCATATATTACTCTTGGTTTAAGGTATATATAGCTTCCTCACACTCGTGTTAAGCAAATGTGTCAAGTCTTGTCTCTATTTTGGGTTATCATTAGGTCACTCTCCTAGAGATGACTGAATTACAGTAAGCCCTTACTACAGACAATGCTATGTAAGGGTAATGATTGGAGAAAGGAGTACTAATGTGCTGCACAAGTGCACAAGTGAGAACAAGACACTTTGCTGCTGTTATTTTAATTTACTACTTACTGCCCTGATACCATCACACTAAAGAATCCTTTGTTTTAGAAGGGAACATGCATGTATCTTTTACTCATGGCCTGACTATCAGGAGAATAGACATGGCACAGGGACATCTTATAATGCTGGGCTTACACTGGACTGTGGTCCAGACAGCAATGTAGCACATGCATTCTACTGTCAGCTTTTGCTTAGAGCTCATAGCCTGGATGATCTAGTACCAAGG